TGTCTTGTCGTGGTTTAAGTTTGTAATATGTCACATCATCTTGAGACATTCTGGTATTAAAGTCGTTTATCGATAAATTATCATTATTATTATTCCGTCTTCAAAGTTCAAACAAATTCTCATTAAAGTAGCATTTCGTTCTTTGCAGGTTTAACTCTTTTTACTTCGCGATTAACTGTTTTAACACGTTAATAGCTGAAGCATTCTGAGTAGTTTGTTTGTTTGTTATGGATTTCGCGCAAAGCTACACGAGGTCTATCTGCGCTAGCCGTCCATAATTTAGCTGTGTAAGATTAGAGGGAAGGCAGCTAGTTCATCACCACCCACCGCCAACTATTGGGCTACTCTTTTTTTACCAACGAATAGTGAGATTAGCCGTCACATTATAACGCCCCTACGGCTGAAAGGGCGAGCATGTTTTGGTTGGGGGATTCGAACCCGCAGATTGCGATTCGAGCGCCCTAACTACCTGGCCATGCCGGGCCACATTCTGAGTAGAAAGGAAGATATTGCCTACACCGTCAATTTTGTATAAACTTGAAGATGCGAAGAACAGTGAGGTCTTGAACTAGAACGTAGATAACGAATAACACGGAAAATGTTTAGAAATAGCGTGACTATGATCCAAAACTTTAATTTTGAAAAACATGGAAAATGTAAGTATGTTTACGTAATATTAATAGTTAATTAGGTTTAAGAAATAACTGAAACATTGGGTACTGACACAAATATGAAAAGTAATGTTGAAATACCTAAAATACCTCTTGTGACAGCACGTGAGTTTGTTACATGTCATTCGTGCTTTATTGTTTTATGCGAATACTATTAGTTTGATGTTAAGCACAAAGCTGTACAATGGACTATCTGTGCTGTGTCCATCACGGATATCGAAACCAGATTTTGAACGTTATAAGACTATAGACTTACCGCTGAGAGCTGGTTTCAATATCTAGTAGGCTTAGGTGTCATTATGGAGAGCTAGTTTCTTACAATTAGGCTTAAGTGACAACAAAAACATATGGTGATTACTAAGGTAACACTACTTTATAATAATTATTGTTTAAGTACATATTACTGACAACTAGTTAGGCTTAAGTGACAATATAGGCTTGTCGCAACTTTATTTGGTGGTTACCAAGGTAACGCTATTTTACAATTCATGCTTCAGTACATAATTACTGAAAACTAATTTTAATACTTGGTTAGGCTTAAGTGGCAATAATAGCTTGTCACAACTTCATTTGGTGGTTACCAAGGTAACGCTATTTTACAATTCATGCTTCAGTACATAATTACTGAAAACTAATTTTGATACTGATCTGTATTTATTGCGCATTCTCTTGACGTTGATAAGTTTTTTTAGAAAAACAGTTCCCGCTAATTTTAAAATCATGTTTTGTGTTTTTATTCCATTTTCCATGGCAGTTTAAAAGTTTCCTTGTTGGAAGTTCTTGACAGATCACCTGATATGCTGTAAGTTTTCTTAAAATACACAACAACAACAAAAAAACAAACTAGCATTGCGTAATATTCTATTAAAAATGAAACCTCGTGTTTGAGCTAGCAGTAATGAAAAACTGTTTAGTACAACACGTAGTCGTCTTATAGTGCATATGGCTATTTTTGGAACCTAATCAATACAAATATATATAATAAGTTGAAAATACAGGTATTTAAAATATATGTTTAATCCTATCACATACATATCTAACTCTGTTAAATACTGAAATTGATAATTTAATTATTTCCATTCTGTTGATATAATTTCCTTGAATATTGTTTATTATTTTCCTTCCAACAGTTCCACTGGCTGTATCTCCTTTCCTTCACCTTCGTCATCATTGGAGTTGCTGTTTACAGCACTAAGCCTGCACCAGTTTTAAACGAAATCCGGTCCTTGGAAGCTCAAGGTGACTTAGAGATGGCGCTACAAACGCCTTATAACACACATATTTATAAATCAGCGGGCTCCAAAAAAGATAACCCACGTTATGATCTTAACACAGAACCAGACAGGACTAGAGGCATGACTGTGGTTTCCATATCTCATGCCGTTTGTGTCCACGCTTCACAAGACTCAACCCAAGCGGAAAGACGAAACGGGATGACAAGGTTTCCTTACCATACTACCTGCTGACTGATAGACTAAGATCAGACAAACAGACAAAACAAAAACGAGTCGTTCCGTGCCAGTAAAGACTCGTTATCTATGGTGTCGTAAGATGGCGCCTTTGAAGTGCATTGAACAGATGTGTTAAATCTAATACCTTACGTCAACCAGGAGGGACAATATAAATCTAGTGTTACAGGTGATGAACACCACATGCATCCCCTCCCCCTCCACCCCCAAGACGAGCAGGGACCTCAGCGGCCTGGCCTCGAAAGGCCACAATAATTAAAATAGGGCTCTCTAGAGTGTCCCGTTTTATCGACCATGTGTATTCAGAGTTATGATGTGCTACATGCTTGCAGATAATTAAAGGTGGCGCTGCAGTTTGAATTACCAAATTTCTAGTAAACAAAACAACAAGACGTCATATTAGGCAAAAGTAACCGTTCAATCTAGTCAAACATGTCCCAAATATGATGACGAGTTACATGTGCAAAGATAATTACAAAGCCGCGTTTGAGGCTCTGTAGCGTACGTAATTTAACTTGGCAGAAGCTTGGATTTAACTTGGATCCTATCTTTTATCGATCCACCAAGCAAAATCTAATTTTGAGTTAATTTATCTCATCGATCAAGAAGACGTCATAATGGTTATAGTATAAAGCCCGTTACGTAAGCCCAGTGGAAAAAAAAAAAAAACGTGCACGTAAATGTTATGGACCCAAAAATTTCCAAAAGGAGTGTTTTCACTCTTTCGTTTTTTTTTTAATTTATTTCATGTGACTGACCCCACACCCCCACTCGGCTATATTACAATAAGTACATCTGTATTCGTAAAACATGGTTTTAATATTTAGGTTGATTTTAAGAGACAAAATTTTAAAATTTCGTCCGAAAAATATAATTCTTGTGAAAATACCAAAAAATACGTTTTCTAATATGATATGAGGGCATTCCGAGTGACACAAGAGAAACACTACGTTTTCTAATATGACATGAGGGCATTCCGAGTGACACAAGAGAAACACTACGTTTTCTAATATGACACGAGGGCATTCCGAGTGACACAAGAGAAACACTACGTTTTCTAATATGACATGAGGGCATTCCGAGTGACACAAGAGAAACACTACGTTTTCTAATATGACATGAGGGCATTCCGAGTGACACAAGAGAAACACTACGTTTTCTAATATGACACGAGGGCATTCCGAGTGACACAAGAGAAACATTACGTTTTCTAATATGACATGAGGGAATTCCGAGTGACACAAGAGAAACACTACGTTTATAAGTTTCTCCACTATTACCAAACGGAAAGTACTTAGATATTTGAATTATATTTGCATACAGCTTTAAAAAAAGGATCACCCCTCTCCTCATAATTTGACTACCCATTTCGTTGAAAGGAAGATTTTTTTTTCTTTCTCAAACACTTACAGCCATGGTAATATAATTTGGCTTTTATAAAAATAGTAATCCATGTAAGTGAGGTGTTAAATACACATACTTACAGGCTGCTATGTCTAGCGCCAGGGATTTTTTAAGACGTTGTATGTTTTTCATGAAAACGTCTTATAAATGAGTTTCTAGGTTCTAAGAACAATACCTTTATTGTTTGATGTAGACTCAGTAGTTTAAAATTATAAAGCGCCAAAGAAACATATTTAGTTTTAACTGGAAACAAATATTACATAGATGAATTATTGGGTAATTCAAATGTGGGTCGTTTATTGTATGTAATAAAGTTAAATATGTTTATAATTATTAAATTATGTATTGGTAAAAATTTTTTAGTGTTGTTTAGGCCTAACAACAGTTGTTAGGCCTAAGTGTTGTTTACCAATTGGTAAACGAAGAAAATGGTTTTTCTTTAATGCACTAAAATGATATTTATCTTCCTGTCATTTTTTGTCAGCAACGTTAGTATAAAACGGGTTTCCATGTTTATTAATAGGTCATAAAAGAATTCATATATTTCTATCGCGACTTTATTTTAGAATTACTCTGCTTCCAGACTTGCTGGGTTTCTCTATTTAAACACCAATATATTATTGTTAAGAAATCACAATCTGAGTCTGAGAAACACGGGCATTTAACTAAATATGGTAAAAGAAAACATTAAACTATGTGTCTGTACACTGTTACCACACCAAGAGACTGTTACACAGTTGACAGTTTCTGTACATCAGATTGCTACAATACCAAGAGACTATTACACAGTTGACAGTTTCTGTACATCAGATTGCTACAATACCAAGTGACTATTACACAGTTGACAGTTTCTGTACACCAGATTGCTACTATACCATTTCTAAGTTTAAACAGGACAGTTATGTGACTTGTTATTGATACCCATATTTCTAAGTTTAAACAGGACAGTTATGCGACTTGTTGTTGACACCCATATTTCTAAGTTTAAACAGGACAGTTATGTGACTTTTGTTCGTTCATACCCATATTTCTAAGTTACGTTTCTCATCCTTTGGATTCTCTACGTATGGGCCCGGCATGGCCAGGTGGTTAAGGTGCGGGTTCAAATCCCCTCCCGCCAAACATGCTTGCTCTTTCAGCCGTGGGGGTGTTATAATGTGACGGTCAATCCCACTATTCGTTGGTAAAAGAGTAGCTCAAGAGTTGGCGATGGGTGGTGATGACTAGCTGCCTTCCCTCTAGTCTTACACTGCTAAATTAGGGACTGCTAGCGCAGATAGCCCCCGTGTAGCTTTGCGCGAAATTCAAAAACAAACAAACTCTACGTACGTTTACCATACGCTGTTTTTCATTATTTTTTGCTTCAAACATTTTTAATTTGAGCTAATATAACTTTAATTCCATATTCTTAAATTTAAATATTTTACTTTTAGGCCCCTCATATCAAATTTGTGCTGGTTCCATATTCCAAAGTTGCCATCAAATTTGTACTGGTTTATCCTCAGATTCCATAATCCAAAGTTGACCTCGTTTTTATCGCTTGGTTCGATATTCCAAATTTGCTGTCATTTATGGCCTGGTTCCTTATTTTAAAGCTGCGCTGGTTTATCATCTGGCTCTATGTTCCAAAGTTACCCTGGTTTAACGTCTGGTTCTATGTTCCAAAGTTACACTGGTTTATCGTCTTGTTCTATGTTCCAAAGTTACACAGGTTTATCGTCTGGTTCTATGTTCCAAAGTTACACTGGTTTATCGTCTGGTTCTATGTTCCAAAGTTGCACTGGTTTATCGTCTGGTTCTATGTTCCAAAGTTACACTGGTTTATCGTCTGGTTCTATGTTCCAAAGTTACACTGGTTTATCGTCTGGTTCCATATTTCATCTAATTATATGTTCCAAAGTTACACTGGTTTATCGTCTGGCTCTATGTTCCAAAGTTACACTGGTTTATTACACATCACAGTTAAATAATACAGGATCTGAAGGTACACATCACAGTTAAATAATACAGGATCTGAAGATACACATCACAGTTAAATAATACAGGATCTGAAGATACACATCACAGTTAAATAATACAGGATACAAGGGTATAAAATAAACCAGTGTAACTTTGGAACATAGAACCAGACGCTTCAGATCCTGTATTCTTTAACTGTGATGTGTATCTTCAGATCCTGTATTCTTTAACTGTGATGTTTATCTTCAGATCCTGTATTCTTTAACTGTGGTGTATATCTTCACATCCTGTATTCTTTAATTGTGATGTGTATATTCAGATCCTGTATTATTTAACTGTGATGTGTACCTTCAAATCCTGTATTATTTAACTGTGATGTGTATTTTCAGATCCTGTATTATTTAACTGTGATGTGTACCTTCAGATCCTGTATTATTTAACTGTGATGTGTACCTTCAGATCCTGTATT